TTTAAGGATGAGTTTTTGACATACTAGAAGTTAAAAAAAGTGATTTGTTTTAATAGAATCAAAAGTGCAATGAATGCACTTGTGACATGGCAATATCATGAATATTTTAGGAAAGAAACTATATTTTTAAAAATACATTTTATTAGAAGATTGAACTTTTATGAATTTTTGCATAAATTTCTAATATCAGCCTTAAAAAGCAATTAACAGATGGATCGTTCTCCTACTTGTCTCAATCTATGCCAATATTTTGTTTTAAACAAGAATTCTTCCTCACATATCATTGTAAAGAAGACTTTATCAACAATGAAAAATACACCTCCAAATATTTCAATTTCCACCTTCATAAAATCTTACCAAAAAATTCTTCAAAAATCTACAACATAGTCATATAGAGAAATAATATACACAAATAAAATTTAACAGCCAGGCATTTTGTACATGCCTGCAATCTCAGCAGTTAGGTGGGCTGAGGCAGAAGAATACCTCAAGTTCTGGCCCAGCCTGGGCCATTTGAGTTCAAGGTCACCTGGACTACACAGGGAATCCTTGTCTCAAAAAAAAAAAAAAAGAAAGAAAGAAAGAAAAAGAAATTGGACAAGATGATCTGCGTATGTAGCAAATAATGTACAGACTTAGAGTTGATGATGTGGTATGCTATAAATTCTTCAAATTATATCCTAATAGTAGTATATTTATACTACCATTGAAGCAACTATGAAAGTGACAAACATCTTTTACAATTCCTTCTAAGAAAACAAAGGGCAGCATTCTATTTTTTAAACCTGAAATTAAAAAGTAAAGAGAAGTTTTCCTTTCCATTTCTGAGACACACTAGACTTATAGTCACTGAAATTTGAACACTAGACAACACTTAAACCTCCTAAATTTATAGGAAATATCAAGAAATACTTTTGCTTTATTAAAAATGAGATTTGATATGGTAAGCAGTACAGATCAAAAGGAGCAACTGATTAATCACACATTTATGGTGGTGAATTGTACGTTTTGTGGGCCAAGTATACCTGATATTTCTATGGCAAACATTCAAAAAGCCACTCCAGGTAGATATAAGGTAAAAATATGAGACAAAAAACAGTAATCCTGGATAACACAGCACCCCTTGAGAGGGCAAAGAGACCCCACATGGTGACATTTTTCTAACTCTGCATTACAAACCCAACCTGAGTGACACAAAAACATCTCAAATTGTAAGTGAACAATTTTTATCTTCTTTTTTGTTTTTGTTTTTGAGACTGAATCTCACTAGGTAGCCCAGGCTGACCTTGAACTCACGGCAATCCTCTTGATTTAGCCTGCTCAGTGCTTCAATTACAGGCATGTGCCACCATGCCAGGTTCTAGGCAGACATGAGTTCAGCACATGAAGGCAAGGAAGAAACATTGGGAAAACAGAAAAGAGTAGAGTAGAAAGAGATATACTTTCTCCAACACTGAGGCAGTAACAATGGTTCCCACAATCAGCATAAAATAGAACTGAGAATGGAAGTGTTTTTCCTTTAGCAGTGCATATGCTTGGTGTCTTGTGGTCAAACCGCTCAGCCCTGTGTCTGATCACTGACAATATCTATCCTGTCCCCTTATCCTCATGGAAAAAGCCAGACAGTACGATGAGCATGGTGGAGCTCTCTATAGTACTAAAATAAGTAAATAAACAACCAAATAAAACCCAACCCAACCAAAACCAGAAAACAAAAGCCACAGCAATGCTTTTTTTTTTCAGTCAAAACACTGTTGTACCCTGGAGAAATCCCTTTCCATCACACTTAGATGATGACACCCAGCAATTTTTGAGCCTCATAAACCCAATTTCCTAATTCCTATTTTTAACTCAAAAACAACTAGGGACAAGTGTGCTGGCACACATCTCTAGGGTCAATACTCAGAAGACAGAGTCAGGACATTTGCCACAAGTTGGAGGAAAACCTGGGCTACGTAGTAAGTTCAAGGCCTGCCTGAAATATATAGAAGCACCCTGTTTCAAAAAAATTTTTTTAAAAGATTAGGTTACCTGACCAATAGTTGAAGAAAACAGATTTATCTAAATATTACAGTCTTCTCCTTCCTTAATGCCTGTGATGTTTGATCCATTCTCGGATTTTCACAACACACAAGAAATCTTCACTGTCACACTAACAACAATCTGACCTCGGGAGAAGGCACTCTCTGTTGTATTCTTGGGTTTTATGACCATCACCATCTCCTCCTCTCCCACTTTCTTTCCTCTCCCATTTGCTCCTCCCTGCGCTGAAAACTTTTATCACTAACCACTCATATGGCTGCCGAGCTCAGATTTCAGGTTTTACTCCTGCTACAATATTCCTAAAATATGAAATCCACCTTAGTCAGCATTTCAATTCTTAAAACAGTGTCTACAGTCCAAAGTCTATAGCAATTATGTGAGATGCTAACCCTCTCCTTTTCACCCCTAATCATATGTCTGTGTAGATGCCCAAGTTTCATGATACTCACACTGTGTGTGTGTGTAATAGGCATTTCTTCTAGAAGTAGTCCTTAGCAGGAAGACTTTCTCCTACCCTTGCTAACATTGACATCCCCCCATTTCTTCGGGCATTTGTAATTTTATGCAAAGGTTTCACTTAAGTATTGTCTCTTTTAGGAGAGGTGCCACCTAAATAAATCATTAAGATGATAATTATTTTTGCATTGGTGTGTAGGTAACACAGGAGTTCATTGTATGTTTCACAAGTGCTCTTCCACTGACTGACCCAAAAGGCAATGTTAAACTCTCTCTTTCTCTTTGTCTTGTTGCTGTTGTTCTTGTTTGACTCAGATTCTCACTATGCAGTTCAGGGTGGCCTTGAACTCACTAGTTAGTCCAGGCTGGTCTCCAACTCTCAGCAAACTTCCGGTCTCAGCCTTCCAAGTGCTAGGATTACAGGTGTGCACCTCCATGCCTGGTGATCCTTTCTTTCAGTTCTCATGGCATCACTCATCATTTACCCTGAGTTTAGCTATATAGGCACATATTCAAATTTTAGCAATTTATTCTCATTACAGAGCAGCATTGGTCTCAGGAGTTAAATTGTGGCTCTGAGACCCTGAAAACAGATATTTATAAAGTTGAGGTTCTCCAGTTCTGCTGGAGGGAAGATGAGACCAGGGACTCCGCACAGCACAGCTCCCCAAGCTTAAATCCCCACCGGAATCAGGGTCTCCCCATAATTCTCCCTCTGCGTCCAACTGGAGATGCAGCTGTGACTGCGGCTGCCCGAGACTGCACTCTAGGCTGGCGGGATGGCTGTGGAGAGACAGGGTGGTGGGTACACAACACAGACCTGCCTGAGGGAGAGCAGGAGGGACAATGTACAAGGCACAGAGAACAGGGGGAAGTCTGATTCCAGAGCAGCGGGTAGGCTCCGGTCCGCCATTGCTGTTCCTGCCACTTCCACCCAGACCTCACACCATGCCCGCCTGTCCCGTATAGGGGCACCCATCCCACAACGTCACCATTGCGAGGCTGGAGGGTCTCCCTGGGTGCTTTCCACGCAAGCTGCAGCCAGTAGAAGTCCTAAAGCCAGGCAAAATACCTAGCTGGGGGTAGCTCTCAGCACTCTGCTCAGTACCTGGGTTTTGGAGCCAGGAAAAAGAGCCCTCCTCCTCCAGCCCACCTGATTGGACAGTTCATATAGCCCGCCCCTCAACACTGATTGGCTGCTACTCCATTGCCGGCCCTCTCTGCTGAGAGTGACAACTGAAGTGACTCTTTATTAGTGAGCGCAACTCAAATGGGAGATTGTAATGCAGACGCTACTCAAGCAGTTTGTCTCTCAGGATGGGGACCCATCTAGCCTGCATTTAAGAAGTTTACTCTTGGCTTTGCAGAGTTGCTTCTGTCTTTTTCTTTCTTTTTTTTTTTTTTTTAAGGTAGGATCTTGCTATGTAATTTAGTCTGTTGTTGAACTCACTATTTAGTTCTGACTGGGGTTGAGCTCCCTGTGATCCTCCTGCTTCAGCCTCCCCAGTGGTGGGTTTACAGGAATGCACCACCTTGCCTGCCTACTCCAGTCTTCTTATGGGACTCAGTGGGCTCTTCCTGCATGTTGCTTTTCCAAATGGGGTCACCTGTCTGCTAAGCCAGTTCCAGAGCTAACTAACCAATGAAAGCACTGTGTTAGAGCGTCAAAAATCCAGGTAAGGGCAGGGGCTGCAGTTTTGAGAGGAGAGAAATTAGGAATAAGGTCGTTGGTTTCATGAACAAGATTTTCTTATACTGTGTCTTTTGATTTATTCATTGTAATGCAAGAAAATACTGCCAAAGTGAGGTATACGATGCTGAATAAATGTACTTTCTGGTGTTGAGGCAGGGAAATCTAAGTACTTCAGACTGTAAGCTCCCTGTGTCCTACAGTTTCTTTCTCAAAAGTTGCAACTCTCTTTCATCACATTAATATTGCTAGAAGGAATATATCATCTGGACTCATGTGACACTCTTGATTAATACCTTGTTTGGCATGACAGTTGCCAAGGACATTAGTAAAGCACACTGCTGGTCGGCCTGATTGGGTCATGGAGGTGTGATATCAGGGACCTCATATTCTCTCTCCCCCTTCCTGTATGGCACCTGTTTTGCTCTGTGCTTCCTGGTTCTCAGGTAGAATTTATCTTTCTTTCTTCATTTTCTTTCACCATGATGTTTGTCCATTAGGGCAAAATAACAACTGAGTATAATCTCTGAAGCCATGAGCTAAAATACTCCTTTACTTTCAAGTCCTATATGTCAGGTATTTTGTACCTACATCAAAAAAATTAGTACAATTAACAGTAAGTGTCTACACAAACTATCAAATGTATCAACCCTTTCTTTAGAAGTCTGTATAAATGAATTATCTCCATGAATGCTCTTCATAGATTTTCTTCATATAAACATATTTCAGTATGACTCTGGCAAATCTGTGCAAATGAAAAGCACTTCCCAGAAAAAGAACCATGGTAACCATTAAAAACCTCTGAAAGGACAAAACCCTCAATACATTTTATACATGTGTCACCTACTTTCCACTGCTTCTGCAGCTTGTGGTTATCACAACTCCTTCCAGAGCTGTTTTAAGCAGCTAGAGGCAACATGCCAAAGAGATTAGTGCCCAAATGCGTGGTAATGGCATTCTCTCTTTAGTCTCAAGATATATCCCAGCTTCAAGTTACTGGACTTAAACTGTTCTCACCTCTACAGTTTATTCCTCTGCTTTACATTAATATTGCTGAGTTATGATGTAAATATACTTGAAGAAAGTCTTTCTATAGAAAACAGCTGATTGAATGAGAATTTTCCACTTTTTCCTGTGTATTGTTGGTTCTTTCACCATTCCAGTGAGATATTATCGTGAGATGCTCTGTGCCTAGGGATTTACATATTCTGTTTACCTTTCTAGAGCAAACTCTTAATCCTCTCATAGCACTATAGACCCATCCAATTATTTCTCTAGTCAAATCCTAACCATTTATAACTACTTCTTCCTTTCAAATAGGTTTAATATTCTGGATGCTCAACCACATTCCTTTATTTTCATTGTTTATTTAAAACTGTGTTATGTTGAATATGATGATGTTTTGGGTGAACTCTATAGTGAAATTTATTGTGGCTATTCTGCACAGCCTGCCACACCACAGCAACTATGAAAACACTCATAGAATATTACATCACCTGCTGAAAGTGAGTGAAAACACTCATGGAATATTACAAATCTGCTCAAGTTCACACATAGTTTAGCAATTCTGATACAAGAAATTCAAAGATCCCTGAAAGATCTTATATGAAAATTCTGTGCTTTGTATCATAGTAAGATTACTAGTGGCTTGGGAAATGTTATAATATTTTTGATGGAGAATAATCTGAAATCCAGAAAGACCAAATAATGCTTCAAAGATGGAACTTGTAAAAATAATTTTTATTTGTAACTCACAAGTGGGATGAAAGAATAAGACCCATCCACTGGACCTGTGCAAAGGGGAAAAGGGCTTGAGACTGAGTTCATAATCAAAACCTGAAAACCTAATCAGTCCTGTCAATATATCATAAAATTATTTACTTTTAGTGAAAGCTCTCTTGTTCATTTTGATATTTAGCATCACCATGGCCTAACATCACAATATGCCAGCAAAATTCACTCCCTGTTTTGAGAAAAAACTCCCGATATAGCCACATATCAAAAGCCATTAACCTAACAGCTACACTGGGCACCTGAGCTAGCTGAGTAACAAGACAGAGAATGGGAAGCAAATTCAGGCTCCTACTAAACCTGGAAGACTTTCACTTCTCCACTTCTACAAGCCAAACCAGAGTGGATAATTCTTTCCAGCTGTTTCAAACTCTGCCACTGATGCTCAACTGTTTGTGTCCCACTCCATATGGTCTACATAATGGTTATATTGTGGTTATATTGTGCTGCTTGTCTGGAGGTAAGTTGTTCATCCATGAGTCTGCTCAGACAACATCAGTTCTGCCCTTTCTCTGTTTCCATGTAAAATAAACTGAATAACATATCCTTATTTGAAGAGGTTATGTTTCAATATTTCCAACGTATGCCTCAAATCCAACACTGGACATTGATAATGATATATACCACATACATATTACTTTTTCCTATACATAAAAACTAGGATAAGATTTATAGATAAATTTTGTACAGATAGAGATTAACAACACTACCTAATGCTGAACTACATATATAATAGCAAACAACACTGTACAATCAATGTCATGTAAATATGTTCTCTGTAAATGTTACTAGGCTCCGGGGTGCTGTAGTTTCCTTTTACAAGTTATTTCTAGGTCCTCTGTGTCCCAGACAAAAAGAATTCAGAAAACAAATGTAAGTAGTGGCAAAGTTTCACATTTGTTAAAGAGAGGAAACAAACAAATGTGTATGAGAAAAATAGGCTCTGTAGAATTCATTTGGGCTGAGTAAAATGGGAGGAAAAAATAAAAATAAAAATATACCTTACAGCACAGAGTTGGCTACGTGAAGAGGCATGATAGTAAATTCTTAATGATGACTGTCCCTCTTTTTATGTTTCCACACTGGCATCGTGTTCAGGTCATCCTATCAAAACCTGCTCAAGTTCACATGAGAAGTTCGTATGCAGGGTTGTGAGAATTGTTTTGTGCCTTTGTCTTGGGATCTAGTCTTGCCTCTTTTCCCAGCTAGTTTTAGCCATACCCTACGTTCCTGCCTCATGTATGTCTGACTTCCTACTTGTAGCCAGTATTGAAAAATGAGACCTCTATAAGTTAAGAGTTTTTTGCCTTTGGAGTCAAGTTGCTCGGAGTCAACTCAAACTTCTTCAGATCTGGGGCGTAAAGAGCTCCCCCACTCCTCCTCTATCCAGAGGAATGGACCGAATATGAAATCCCGGCACGAAATTTTATTTACTTAGTCAAAAGTGGAGGATGTCAGATGTGTCACCAGAGCATCTGGACCATTCCTTCCCAAAAATGCCTTTTGCCTTTCCATATTCCCCCACTATATTACTCGTTTCCCTGTTGGATCAATGTAAGTTGATTTGGCTTGTATCTAGATGCTCCCCTAATACCTCCCAAAGTACATATAGGTGGGGATTTTCAGAGGTGTGTGGGTTGAGGGTGTCTATTGCTGGGATTAAATTGTGCAAGTCTGGGATTAGGGTGTGCAATTACTAAATTAGTCCATTACTGGCTATGCATAGTTCTCTGTGGATAATGAGAAGGCCTCATCCTGGGTGTGGGAGGTGCCAGCCAAAAGGCAGGTAGTTTGGAAGTGATGAAAGAGAAAGACTTCTGCCCCTGTTGCTTGCTGCTTTGCTGCCTTCCTCCTGCCCAAACATGACATGGACTGTTTCTCCACTACCATGTTACCCTGCCTTAGAGCCAGCCAACTATGGCCAGAAACTTCTATAAACTCTGAGCCAAAATTAATCATTCCTACTTTAACTTGTGGGTGTTGGGTATGTTGTTTCAGCAATGAGAAAAGTAACTAAGACAAATTTTGGTACCAAAGTTTGCAATTCTAGAGTGATTCTAGAAAAACAGAATTATAAAGACAAAATTCTTCAATGGCTTTAGAGGTTCCTGGAGTTGGCTTTCTAAGTTGATGAGACCATGGAGCTGGAGTGTTGCTCAGTGGCACAGCCCTTGCCTAGCATGTGCAAGGTTATGGGATCAATTCCCAGTACAAAAACCAGTAATAACAATAATGAATAAATAAAAATTTTTAACTTGATGAGACTAAACAGTACCATGTTCTATCCTGATGCTTTGAGGTATACTGATAGCTCTTGGTATAAACCATTTAAACTAATATAAAATGTAGATCCATTTGATTATCCTACTCACCACTTGTGAAATGTAAGTAATTTAGTGACTCCATATATGAAACTTGTGAATATTTTTTACAGAATGGGAAATATGATGCTGCCTGGTGGCTCTTAACATCTCTGGACAAACTAGCAAAGGAACACAATGAGTTCAAAATATCCATAGGAATTGTAATTGTTTGATCAATCTTACATGCCTATATCTGGTTATCTGAGAAACACTTTGAAGATAACAATATGTAATATAACAACTATTGTTAATTTCTTATCACCTTGTTTTGAAATTCTGTATCATTTTTATTATTTTTGTGTTGTTT